ATTTACAATTAATGAAAATGTCTATATTTTGCTTACTATAAGGACTAGGATCATCAAATCTTGTAAGTTGATGCATCTTAGAACTTCACATCATCTTAACTCAAAAGTAGGTCACAGTGACCTACTTTTTTAATTTTGCAGGCATTTGTTTTCAAATTGATTTGAATGCATATTTTGGACACTTTAAGGCCTATGATCATTAAACTTTGTCAGTTGATGCATCTTGGGTCCTTGAACAAGGTCAACTTAAAAGTAGGTCACCGTGACCTACTTTTTGAACTTTATGACTTATCCTTTTTAAAACATTTCATCCCATTATTTCAGACACTGAGAGGGTTAGAATCATCAAATCTTGTAAGTTGCTGCATCTTGGGACCTAAAAACATATTTAAGTAAAAGTAGGTCACTGTGACCTACTTTTAGAATTTTGCAGGCATATGTTTTCAAATTGCTTAAAAGGCATATTTTGATTACCTTCAGACCAGCGATCATCAAACTTGGTCAGCTGATGCATCTTGGGACTCTGAAAAATGTCGACCAAAATGTAGGTCACCGTGACCTACTTTCGACATTTTATGGCTATATTTCAGTATCTTAGGTATTTATTGGCTTAGAATCATCAAACTTTGTGAGTTGATGCATCTTGGGTTTTCGGAGAGTGACGACCAAAAATTAGGTCACGGTGACCTACTTTCAATATGTTATGGCTATATTTATGTATCTCCAGTACTTATCGGCTTAGAATCATCAAACTTTGTTAGTTGATGCATCTTGGGTTTTCAGAGAATGTCGACCAAAAAGTAGGTCACGGTGACCTACTTTTGACATTTAATGGCTATATTTATGTATTTCTGGAACTTATTGGCTTAGAATCATCAAACTTTGTTAGTTTATGCCTCTTGGGTTTTCAGATAATGTCGACCAAAAAGTAGGTCACAGTGACCTACTTTTGAATATCTCAGGTATTTATTGGTTTAGAATTATCAAACTTGGTCAGCAGATGCATCTTAGGCCTCTGATAAATGTCAACCAAAATGTAGGTCACGATGACATACTTTTGACATTTAATGACTATATTTAAGTATCTTCAGTACTTATTGGCTTAGAATCATCAAACTTTGTTAGTTTATGCCTCTTGGGTTTTCAGAGAATGTCGACCAATAAGTAGGTCATGGTGACCTACTTTTGAATATATCAGGTATTTATTGGTTTAGAATCATCAAACTTTGTCAGTTGATGCATCTTGGGTTTTCGGAAAATGTCGACCATAAAGTAGGTCACGATGACCTACTTTTGACATTTTATGGCTATATTCAAGTATCTCCGGTACTTACTGGCTTAGAATCATCAAACTTTGTCAGTTGATGCATCTTGGGTTTTCGGAAAATGTCGACCATAAAGTAGGTCACGATGACCTACTTTTGACATTTTATGGCTATATTCAAGTATCTCCGGTACTTACTGGCTTAGAATCATCAAACTTTGTTAGTTTATGCCTCTTGGGTTTTCAGAGAATGTCGACCAAAAAGTAGGTCATGGTGACCTACTTTTGAATATCTCAGGTATTTATTGGTTTAGAATTATCAAACTTTGTCAGCAGATGCATCTTGGGACTCTGAAAAATGTCGACTAAAATGTAGGTCATGATAACCTACTTTCGACATTTTATGGTTATATTTAATTTTCTCTGGTACTTATTGGCTTAGAATCATCAAACTTTGTCAGTTGATGCATCTTGGGTTTTCCAAGAATGTAGACCAAAAAGTAGGTCAAGGTGACCTACTTTTGAATATCTCAAATACATATTGGCTTAGAATCTTCAATCTTAGTTTGTCTATTAATGCATCTTGAGTCCTCAGAAAACTTCAATCTTAAAGTAGGTCACCGTGACCTACTCATGTTTTTTTTTATAGCTTTATTAAAATATCTTCAGTCCTAATTGGCTAAGAATCATCAAACTTTCTATCAGTTGATGCAACTTGGGTTTTAGGGTACTTAGGGTTAGAGGCTTCAAATACAAGTGATAGGTTGTACAATTTATCAGAAGAGCGATTCAAGGCCCTTGGGCCTCTTGTTGATATTTTCACGAGTGCGAAGCAACATATTTTTGGTAATTTTTGATAGTTTTATTCGCTGTCAGAATGGTTTATTTATTTCCATCTATCTTATTATTAGGTCAAGGAAGATTTTTTTTTTTACAGCAATCTTCGTTATGGGAAGGAAAATCGAGAGTTTTCCCGCCCTTCTGATATTCGTCACACTGTGGCAGGGTATCATTTTGATATCCTTTCACACTGTGACAGGATATCATTTTTATTCAATGAATAAATCATTGTATTTCACGGGTAAAAATGTAATAATGGCCACTACAGGACTTGCTGTGGATGCTGGAACGGTCCTGTTTGATTTTAACATATTTTATGGTAATTTAATTACAAAGGGATTAGGCACATGTTCTGAAAACTTATTACGCCATGTCCTGTGTTTTCAGTATGATGACATAGACCTGTGTTTCTGAGCAGATTCTTTCCATAGTAACTTATATGGATAATGACCAAATGTATAGAGAAGTTACATCTAATATACACTGGACAAAATTGCTAACGCACCACCTAAGAGAATTAATATTTTACTTTTAAAAAATCTGTTTAAGATGCATTGGATATATAAATATGTTACAAAAAATGAGGCATATTAATGTCAAACCTTATAAATTACTACAATGTTAATTGAAGTGTGACCAATTCATACAAAAAAATAAAATCGTGTCTATTCCATTTTAGAAAAAAGAATTCATTTTTTCTTTGTATTTGTGTTCTTTCCATTTGTACTAATTGAAAACTCAGAAAAAAAGTTACACCGTATACGGCGTTTGACGTCAGAAGAGCGTGCAAAAGCAGACAGTATTGCGTCTGCAGGGGTTCCTTTAGAAAAATCTGTAAAAAATAAAAACAATAAAAAGCTAATGAATTTCACGGATAAAAGGGTGTTTCAAGTAGATTATCAAACATAAAAATGTTTACTATAGATATCCAAGACATTAACTTAGCAGCATACAATAAGGCCAAAATAAAATTATAGTTTGTTTGGAATTGCCGCCCGCCTCATTGAAATACCCCCCGCTCAAAAAATTTTATTGGCAAAATATAGGAAATATTTTTTTTACCGTCTTATATGTCCGACATCGTTTTTTACAAGTTAGTTCGTTCTTCGAAATAGCTTTTTAAAGTCGGATTTGAGCTCACATAAATTTAACAACACCGGTCAATAAAACGCTTTCTTCATAGTATTTATGATATAGGGAATATAGGTGGTGATTTGAAAAATGAAAGCCGCCAAAATGTCAGACCAAGTTGGATCAGTGGATGTGAAAACATTCAAGCGTTGAAGACCAGAACATTTATGCATCTTCATAAAAATAAAAGGTGAATAAAAAATTAAAAATGATATACCGATACCTGGAAAGAGCTATTGTAATAGATTGCCCTTTGAACTTGATAGGATAAATCCGTCATGTTGAAATTAAAAATATCGTCGTTCAGTTCCCAGTTAAAAAATCACACGGGTCAGAAATGTTTATTCCCAAATACAAAAGGAAAAATGTTGTCTGTCGGTATAAGTCTTTGAAACCTAATGTTAAAACTGATTCATGGCCAACACTCTAGAACATACCAAGCACCCCCTCCCGTTTTTCCACAAAACATCCCAACTATTCTTAAGAAATTTTGTGTGGTTCGCACTCTTTGTAAGGGTTGTCTTAATGAAGGGCTAAATTTCAAAGAGAAATGCAATGAAATACACTAATGAACTTGTTTTAAAAAGATTTGTAAAGAAATTGTTTTAAAAAGATTTTTAAAATAAAGAAAAAAGTTTGACGCTGAAATTTGACTTTTTATAGATAAGCAAATCTAACATCAAAGAAAGATTGATACTCGAGTATACCGTTCTGTGTATATTTTAGATAAAATGATATTAATCAAATAAAAGAAAGAGGAAAATTAACGAAAATCACCACTGTTCATTGCGATTTTAATTTCTATTAAATAGCTTCAATTTGTGAAAAAAAAATAAATTCCCTCCCTCCCTCCTGGGTCTGAAAACCCCCAGGCGGCAATTCCAAACAAACATTTTTTTAAGGATGGCCTAAGTTGAAAATTGTTCCACAAAACTGGGTCAACCGGAAGTGGAGTGGATTTGGTATGGACAGTAATGTATCAGATGATTACTAGGAGATATGAGGGTCAATGACTGCTTGTTATTTGATTTTTATTTGATTGGGGGACTACTCCTGTGGCAATCACACAGACCCCTTGAGTGATCAAGAATTTCATATCTGTGCAAAAATGGTGCGCAGTGCACAGCTGGAAATTGGTTTTCGGACAAGAGTGTCATTCAAGGGTTTTTTCATGATACCAAAACATTTGTCAATCCCACTGCTTCGGAAATAATTGCATATCATATACACTAGTACCGATCCGGCAAATGTTCAAATCACAAATAAAAATTAATAAGTGGTGCGTTAGCAATTTTGTAAATATGTACACCTTAATTTTGGATGTTGGATCCGACTAGGTTATAGATTTTTGGTTTTGGTGATAAATGTAGGAATGAAAATACTTATTTGCTATAGATTTTGGATAAGATCTACATTTGCTGCACGAATGGCAAGCCCATGCCGACCAAATTAGCTTGGATTATGCATCTAGGGATGCATACTACCAGACTTGCCTCAGATTTTGCAGATGATTGAATAGAGAAAAAAATATTTTGGTAAAGTTTATTCCTTGTTAACAAATTTCAACATCATCTGTAAATTACACTTTAAGGTGTACCAGGTATACGCTATACTACGTAATGGCAATCTATACATGAGTCATTTTTCCTGAAACATATTTAAATGCATATGATTAATTGATAATTTGGATACTTAGGTAGTGTTTTAACTTATTTACTTAGGAAACATCTTGTATGAATGGTGAATTTTATGGCAGCATTGAACTAAAAATACATGTAAGGACAACTCTATTGTGATAGATTTTACAACCTACATTATTTGTGTACTGTTAATAAATAAACATAAAATGCTATAATCTTCCAACTTCTATATCAAATGAAAATACAAAGTTGTGAATTAAGCGAATAATTTTGTTACTGATGTACAATTTTACATACATTTGTTAATGTTTACGTATTTCTGTTAGCGCTGTTAATTAATAAAGCTATCGTTGTAGTAATTGCGATGATAAAGCCAAAGATAGCTACAGCACTAACGACAAGAGACATACATTTGTAATATCTTCTCATGGGATAAAAACGTTCTGTTTTTGCCTATAAGATAAAGAAAAAAGTTTACATATTGCAGCAAATTGGTTGTAAAGTTGTAGCAGTTAAAGTTAAAAGTCTTTGCTGAAAGATAAAAACATATTGACGATGCCTGTAGATGAATATGAGAATATAGGAATCAAAATATGCAGTGTTTATTAATTTGAAAAATAATATGCAGTGCACATAACTGAATAGTTCTTCAAATTACTTAGCAAGATAGTTAAATTTGAAATTTACCATATAAGCGTAGCAAACGGAGAAGACACCAACAGGACAATTAAGCACAAGGCTTGTAATGGAGCAGCACAGCATGATAGCTAAGGAGACTTCCCTCTTGGTTTTATTGGATTGATTTCCACTACCATTAGAAACCGCGTTAACCTATAAATATAAAAATGTTGAAAAATTACTTATATTTTGCGTGGAGGTGGGGGCCAATTTTCGTTGTTTACGGCTCATAAACCCTTTGCTATTCATATAAAATGTTGCTTGAACCTTTATGATTTTCCAAAAGAGATGTTTATTTTATAAGTAAAATACAAACAATTACAGCATATCTTGCGGGGCTAAATTGGACAAAAAAGACGCTTCAACTAATCAAATTTTTAAAGGAACAATAGAGTTTATGTCATTAAGAGTTTGCTCTCTTATCAGAGTATCAATAACCTTAATTGATGGTTCCTTGGAATTTTATTTCATAATTTGGTGAATTTCACACGATACATGTACATGTACCATCCTTTGAAATTTAAAAAATTCATGCAGGACATAAATTTATGTATGGTTTTCTTCATTCCAAGAAGAAAAGCGCCATGAAAATTATTTCCCACTATCAATTTGAAAGAATGAAATCATTTAAGAAACAAAATAACAAAGTTCAGTTGACGGTTCTTATGAGTGCTATATCCTATACCTGTTGATAAGGAAGGCTATAATACATGCGGTCTGCAAGTCTCTCGTACTTCACAGTTCCTGTCCGGATCCCATTCAGTAAGTCATCATACCTCTCGTTTTCCCTCAGTACTGAGTAATTGTGACGTGGTTCATACCCTAAGGTGTCATAGGGATCTATCTCCGAGGTAATTGTGGTAATCGGTGGCTGATTGTTAACGCCCGCAGCATTATGATTTTGTAGAATAGATTGATTTGTTGCATTTTCAGCCACTGCTGGCACTAGAATAAAGAAGTTATTTATTTACTATGTTCAAAATAAATTAATGTACGGTGAAAACTGTCAAACATGTGTAAACGTCACTCTGTTAATTACGATGTTAAATTTCATTCCCACTTTACTAATTTTTCATGTTTTTTTTTTTTTTACACTGATGACCAATATGACACCATGTCACCACGACTCCCAGGGTATGTCAGATTCGACAGGTTTTACTGTAGTTATATTTGGATTTTCTTCCCTTTTATTCGTTTTGATTTACCATGTTTAGATAATAAAGATAGCTGTAAATGACTTTGATAAATATTTTTTATATATATACCTGTAATTTCTGTAAGATCACTTGGTGGCTTATCATGCGAGATTGGTTCCAGATAAGAGGATGCTGTTGAACATCTGCTGTTGTCTGTTATTAAACAAGACGTGCACCAATTTAAAAATCTTATTGTTGATTTTACAACATATTGATTTGTGAATGTTTGCGTATACGTATATTATATTATGAAAAAGTAAAATTATTTAACAATTTACACAGCAGTTTTTCTGTGTAAATTATACTTGAACTAAATATTTCATTAACGTCAAGAAAATATCGCTTATACAATGTAATCATGTAACACTTTCTAAGCGTTTCGCTTAACATTTTTTTTTTTGCATATTTTTGTAGACGAGAAGGAACATGCTGACTAGTGCTTTCGTCACTTCAAAATACAGGAAAAATGTGTGAAATTATTTTTAACCTTTAATTCAAAAATATTCATGTCTTCCTCCTCGTATAAAGTTTAACCTATGCGATCATATTTTACTTAATTAAATATATAAGAACTTATAATTATTATATTAATTTATTTAAAAAAAATACAGACCTTGCATTTCATCCACCTATCATATATACTCAATTACTCAGGTTTCAGTGGGTAATATTACATGTATTAATTGCATTTCCTCCATCTACAAAGTATTACACAGGTTTTGTATTAACGTCATTGTGTCACAGTCATAATGGCAAGGTCTTATCGGTTCATTGTTTACTAAAATGAATGAACTCTTTACAAATTTATAAGGATGTATAGGAAATAAGACTTGTCATAGCTAACTATCATTAAGATGAGTAAATTATAAGTCAAGTACCTCCCAAAGTCGTGAAGTAAACAATCTTATGAAGATGTAATTGAACACGTAGTCCTGTGTTGACGATACTAGATGCTTGAATAAAATATACAAAATAATTTATACAATATGTATCTATGATACCCATTCATTTGAATTGTCTCCCATTGAAAGGGAACACGACACTTCCTTTAAACACACACAAATCGTTCTTGTTCCAAGAATGCTTTGTAGCAATTTTGATTGAAATTGACAAAGTGATTTTAGGAAGAGTTTGAAAACGCGAAGGTTTAAACACACATTAGACGGCGCACATAAACCTTTGACTCAGGTGAGCCAAATTGTATGAAATCAAATTGTCAATGCCTCATCAATGTAAAAAAGGAATATGAATCCAGAATTTTCGAAAATGCAGATCATCTCTTATTTTTATATTGATCTGGTAAATATTCCCCCTTATTTTTAGTGGCTACCTGTACTACTTCAGTATGATTTCTAGCGTAGTAGCGCTTATCCTGTCATTGCTGATTTCTCCACCTTAATTTATTTTCCTCCACATAATATGACTTCACTTTGAATCTTGGTGACTTGGTGACTTGGTGACTTGACATTTAGGATTTGTTTTGTATATGTACTATCCTCTTTGCTTAGATAGACTGTGTCTGAAAATCAATTCTGTTTTGACGCATCTCCTGTGCACTCTGATTTGTACCAACACAATGCATTTCATTGAAGATTTTGTTATTGTTTGTGATACAGTTGGAAAATAATGTGTACAGAGATCAGAATCAAGTATATAAGTGACAATTAAATGCTAGTTATCGAAGCCATGTCATTTCAATTCATAAACCATATAATAACGGCCCAAATTATTATTTCAAAATCGGTCAAATGCCAAGTACACTGCAACGCAGAAAATTTTCTAACATTTTTTTTTCTAAGACATGAGAAAAACAAACTTTCTGTGACCATGGTGATCGTCAAAGTTTGAAAATATCGATAACATTTAATTAATAGGCAACCACTGTTTTCCAGCAAAAATAGCAACACTGTTCCATAAAACTATTATGGTACTGCTTAAAATATATAGAGAGGATTTAGAAATTTGGTTTTCTACTATAATTGGCACCCAAGGTGAAAATAATATAATAATCAACACTTGCAAAGTATTGTAAAGTATGTATTTAAAAAAAAAAAGAAATGAATAATGACTAAATCATAGAAGTACATTGTAGTTTGGAAAAAAAATATTGAGTGAGAGACTGAGAGACCACTCTGACTAAATTAAAAACAATAAACAAAAACGTTTTAGAAAGTGCATGTAAAAAATCAAAACAGAAAATAATTTGCTGTTATGTGATCACTAGCTGTTGTAATTATACTTTGAGATCCAATACAAGTCTTCAACTGATCATGACAAAAAAGTTTAGTTCACTGAAATAGTACCTGTATTGCATTTATGAATTTGAAAATTAGGTTGCAACTAATTTAAGTCCGTGAGTACTTATCGATCAATAATACGCTTGATCTATATCTGTTTTCAATAAAACTATTTCTGTACGTAGAACAAACAATTAAGTCTTGTTTAATTTAAAAGATAAAGAATGAATTAATTTTTTTCATCAGTTTTAAATTAATCTTTAAAACTGCTGAAAGAACTTTAAAAGAAAAGGTAAACAGATGTGTAATTTAACAACAAAAGTTACATCAATCATAAAAAGTTGCAGAGTTTAAGTAATTTTTAAAAATTTCAGCAACACTCATGGCATATTCTAATTAATTGTATGTTCACTGACGTTAAAAGAAATTGATTCCTGAAGCAATTGCCCACAACACCTTATGGGTTTTTTGGCATCTCAACCCAAAAGATGACAGAATTTGCCGTTATGATCGGATGTTTGTCTCTGTCTACCTTCATGAGGGTGACAATGTGTAGCTATATGGAAGTAGAATCGAATCTTCAAATAGAACTTTTGACAGGGTACAATTTCAACGTTCGCCCTACTTCAAATGGAACCGAGAAAACTGTTATTGGATATGACTTCTACATCAAAAGCATCAACGATTTCAAAGAAGCAGAAGGAAAACTGTCTCTTACAGGATTACTTTCAGTTTTTTGGAGAGATCCTAGATTGTCATGGTCAACCTCATTACCACCTTATAACGTAATTAATTCAACGTCGTTTAAGTCATTTCAGGTGTGGATCCCGCATTTTATTTTATCAAATGCGTTTGGAAGCTTTAGAAGACTTGGCGTTGACAGTGGGGCAGTGCATTATAGCTCAACAGGTTCTGCTATTATGTATGTTGCAGATATGTTTGAGGCTAAGTGTCTCTCAGATGTTCGATCATACCCATTTGATGTGCAAAAATGTCAACTAGAGATTGTACCTTGGGGTATAAGAGGTACTACATTAAAAATTATTTCCCAACAGGAACCTGTCTCGCTTCAGTTTTATACCATGAGTGGCTTATGGGATATCAAAAATACACACACCTACGTATTGCCTCTCCCATTTTTTGACCAAATTACAGTTTCAGTTGAAATAGGTCGGCGTACACTGTACCATATGATCTTGTTGATGATTCCACTGTGTATTCTTAGCATGCTTCCCACTTTGGTATTTCTGATACCAGTGGAGTCTGGAGAACGATTGGGATACGCAACCACAAGTTTGTTGTCGCTCCTGCTTTATCAGACAGCCATAGCTTCGAAGCTTCCAGAATCATCGATCCCTGGACTTTCACTGTTAATATTAAAGACATTTGCAGAATTCCTACTAGCTTGTATCATATTAGTTATGGCAGTTTACGCCATAAAGTTTTACTATTATGATGAAAATACACCAATTCCAAAACTTATGATTTTCCTGCATTGGATCATGACAAGGAAAAAAGAAACTGTAATACATAATAAGAAAGTCCATTCGGAATCGGAAAACGAATCCAAAGTGAAGACAGTATGGAAGGAGGAACCTAGAATGACATGGCAAGACTTATCCCATAGTTTTGATAAATTCTGCTTGCTTTTTTCAATATCAATATTCATCGGGGTGAATATCGTGTTTCTTGTTTTGATTAACACACAAAAGTAAACATCGATTGTGATTTCTCTATGGTTGTAAAGGTGAAATGGGTTCCTCACAAACAAGATGACATAAACACATTACATAAATAAGTATTGTAATAATGAAAAAATATATACGCAAAAACTATATTCAATTTCTTTATTACAATTACAATCAAATGAATGTGGGATCAGTTGAAGATATAAGAAAATAAATTTCCTTTCCTCAATGATTATTTTCAATTTTTTTGTAGAAATGTTTGTGAATTTACACACAAGTACTCTATTATTCACATTAAATGATGCTTGTGTTTCTTCATATGAGTGACAAATTCTTGAGAGAGAAGTTAGACAACAAACAAACAAAGAAAAATCATACATGAGTTTCAAATTGAAAAAAAATATATGCAGATTTGTTAGATCAAGTCTTCTGAATTTACACTGGTACCAATTGCGTCCCGTTATGCATGTTATAAGTATAAGTAGATCTGTTTTTGTTTCGATCATATACTTACATCAGATATTATTCAAATAATTCTTCTTCAAAAAGTCACTTGCGAATTAACATTTAAATACATCGATGATTCCCTATTAAAAATAATCATTTTTCATTTCAACGTTGATTCATTATATCCTTGGAAAATCGTAATAACAGATACCAAACATTTGAGAGTTTAACATACATGTATCTACGTACATGTAGTATATATTTCATTTGGAAATGTTGCAAAAGCTACAATGGACCTCTTATTTGGAAAATTCGAAACTCATAAAAATTTAACACCTTAGTATTAGATGTAATCAGTGAACAGGTATCTTATCTCTTACCTCTCTCTGACCCGCGGGCAACTGTAATTAGGTCAAACAGCATGTCTTGATATTGCATCTGTGTTTTATAAGTATAGCACTATATTCACGTCAAATTCAACCTCTTGCATTCATTTCATATATATATAGAATTCATTATCGTGACATTAGGAATATTAATAACTGGTGTGTTGATTTTTTTTTGTGTTCTTCTGTTATTCTTCTTTTAAGTATTTAAAGTACAGCAACACAATAATATCTAAATATTTGTCGGAAATGTAGTATCATTCTGTACAATTGTACATTTCAAGCATAATCACTATCAATCTGAGCTAGATTTTCTATTTTTCTCATTCTGGATGATTTGGCCGTTGTGTGAGCAAAGTTCAACCTTTAAATTTCAGATTATTGCTAAATTTTAGTATTATCTTTTACTTTATCCATACTCGATACACAAGTGTATAGGAGTCTTGCAACAATTGTCACTATATAAAGTTTGGTGGCTGACCGAAAGCTCCATAAATGAACTGTGCATAAGTTATAAATTGGTATTGCACAATGTATTGATTATTGACAACTGTTTCTAATTAATGTGTATGTTATTATAAAGATCCATCCAGATAGAACGCTTTATCGATACAAGTAACTAAAATATTGAAAAACTGTTTTACTTTATTTGATGCTTCTTCAAAAAAAAGTACATTATCATCATTTTTATAATAAAATCATATGAACTGCACTTCTGTGTTTGAAAATTCTGTATCACTTGAAAGTAATTTCTAGTATATGCATGTAAACTCAAATCATGATTTTAATATATTTGTCTATAAAGAATAAAAAGATACGATGAAAATAAAAAATAAAAAGCAAATATAAAGTAGGACGTGTATTTTCATGTGGATCAACTTGAAAATTTGAATTTACAACTATTTATTTTCTATGGCAAAGTAAAGAATCACCATCTACATCTGATTTTTATTAATAAATGTTAACCAAGCTTCTCCGGCACTCATAACAATACAGTGTACTTTTGCTATTCATTACCAA